CTGAGCTGATCTGCAATGGAAAGGGCTACACAGCTCCTTCCTCTTCCCTTGCGCCAGCCCTGGCATTCATCTGGTTCCAAAATGTAGCAGAAACATGGCCTGAATAGAAAATGATGGTTTCTCTCCCTAAACTGGCTCACTGTAGGGTCAGATAAGTGCCAGAGCTGGCGTAAGGGAGGAGGAAGGTATGGTGGAGGGCGAAAGGAGGTGTGTCCCTTCCAGAGGCAGTGATGCTTAACTGCACCATAAAATCGCATCCTCCATTCATCTCAGCTGATTGCAGAGGAGTTGCGTGGAAACTACGTCAACTGGGATATGGCCCCAATTAATTAGGAAGTGTTTTCTAAGGTAAAGCACGTTGGAAGGAGAAAGCCTGGTCGTTTTTTTTACTGAATGGAACCAGACTGTCGCGTGCTTCCAGCAGCACTGCTCGCTGGCTCCCTGCTAGGCTGACTGCACTCAAATGTGTTCTGGGGATTCTGCTGCAACAGCTTTGTTGCTTTAATTGTATCTTCAGATGCCATGGAAGATGTTGGGATGTGTCCAGTTCTTGTCCTGTCCTTTCTTTCCCCTCTACATTCTGTGTTCATGAGGGAGATGGGATCAGGTGAGCCCAGGATGTAACTCCTGCTTTGAAGTCAGCACTCGTTCTGCTGTAGGCATCCGTGGGAAAGATTTCACTTTTAGCATGACTGTAAAGTTTTGGAAAACTCATGATTTCTGGCACTAAACTGAACTAAACAAAGTCCTGTTCAAGTCTGTTAGGAGAAAAAACATCCTTATGCTTGTTCTCGAGATACAACCTTGAAAAGTAATTCCCCACTTCTAATTTCTATGATAAATTCTTGCCACGTAGTTACCCTTATATATTTAGGACTCTTTATCTCTGTAGTTTAACTTTTCAAACAGGTAAATGCAGCTAAATGTGTGGTGTTATTTTTTTGTTTTGTTTTGGTTTTTTTTAGAATTAGTCCCAGCATCGTGACTTTTCCATCATGTCAGAACCCATCACGCTCAATGTTGGAGGAAAACTCTATACCACCTCTCTGTCCACCCTAACTAGCTTTCCAGACTCCATGCTGGGGGCCATGTTTAGTGGGAAGATCCCAACCAAGAAGGACAGCCAAGGCAACTGCTTTATTGACAGAGATGGCAAAATCTTCCGCTACATCCTGAACTTCTTACGAACTTCTCACTTGGACCTCCCTGAAGACTTTCAGGAAATGGGCTTACTTCGACGGGAGGTAGATTTTTATCAGATTCAGCCACTGATTGAGGCCTTGCAGGAGAAGGAGGTGGAGCTTTCAAAAGCGGAGAAGAATGCCATGCTCAACATCACCCTCGATCAGAAGACCCAGACTGTTCACTTCACCGTCCGAGAAGCACCCCAGATCTACAGCCTGTCTTCCTCCTACATGGAAGTGTTCAGTGCTCGTATCTTCTCCACGTCATGTCTGTTCCTGAAGCTTCTCGGTTCCAAACTTTACTATTGCTTCAACGGAAACCTCTCTTCGATATCCAGCTACCTGCAGGACCCCAACCATTTGACCTTGGATTGGGTTGCAAGTGTGGAAGGCCTTCCCGAAGAGGAGTACACCAGGCAGAATTTAAAGAGACTCTGGGTGGTGCCAGATAATAAGCAAATCAATAGTTTCCAGGTGTTTGTGGAAGAAGTGCTAAAAATAGCCATGAGTGATGGTTTCTGCATAGATTCTTCTCATCCACATACTTCAGATTTCATGAATAATAAGATTATTCGCCTAATTCGGTACAAGTAGGGATGGCTGTTTATTATGGTGCCAGCATGGAGATAACACAGGTTAAGTGTTTCCCTTTAAAACACACTTACAGCCTAATTCAGAATCGTGCTTACCTGGATTAAGAGTCACTAACAGGGAGATGATTTTCCTTTAATGTATTTACCAATACAACCTTTCAGAATATGTCCATACTCTAGATGGACGGAATATTGTCTTGCGCCTAAATTAAGGATTGGTTCTGTCTCTGCCTCCATCTCTGACCTGCTGTACAATTGTAGGGGAAATCACTTAACTTCTGTCCTTCTTACATTTTCCAGTTGGAAAATGGGCGTGATCCTTAACCTATATTGCACGGGTGATGTGAGGGTTCAGTAATCACAGTTTGGAAGGTATCTGGAGATGAGATGCAGTGAGAGATGACGTGGAGCTGCAGCACAGCAGACAGCCCGGGGGGTGCATTTTCCATGCCTTGCCGTATCACCTGTGCAGAGCATCCAAGAAACTTGGTTGGACCCACAGAGAAGAAGCCTCCCCACATGCACGCACTCAGTATTGCTGTAAAGGATGGTGCAAACTGCAAATGAGTAAGGGATCCTGTCTGTTTGGGTTCAACAGAAGATTTCTGTCACCATCTGAAGCTGACTTTTTTTTTTTCTGAACCCTGTGAGGAAGCCCCTGCTCTGTTCTGCTTTCAGGAAAGCCATGTTTGAATTATGTGACTGACATGGTGAATGACCAAGGAACCCATAGCAGAGAGAATGGTGTTCTTACAAACTGAGAAGATTGTGGCTGGTGGGGGAACTTTGCTTTGGACGCTCTTAAACCTTTACTTTTACATTCCAAAGACATCCAGGACAACTAGTCCTCTTACAATCTTGTATTTGTCTGGAGTATGCTGCTGAAACTTTCTGAGGTAGAGACAGATGTGGGGGCAGAGGTCCCCAAATATCTTCTAAACGTTTGAGCCTCTTCTGCCTGGACGTGGCCTTCTTTTGGGCACGTCTCCCTTCAGCAGTGCCTGGAGTGCATGGGATGCTCTCTGGGTAGGATGATTCCATCTGAAAAGACAACATTCCCATCAGGTTACGCCTAGTATTTTTCATTACAAAAACAGAGGCTCACTTTTCCTATCCCGGTGCATTGAACCGTATTTTTTAGATCATTGTGAGATGGTCAGATCAGGAAGCTAGCATTTTACCCGCTTGCTTGACTTTAGTGTCAGATTGTCGGAGTTAAGGCAGTGGGAAACCAGAGGTGATGACAATGGTCAAGCTCTTTTCCTACAAGCTCGGTCTGTGCTATAATGAAGATCATAATCCACTAGCTGCATCTAAACACCATTTGTGCCATATTCAAGGTGGTTCATTCTCAGCTAATTATGTTTAAAAGTATCATACCTGTC